AATTTCAAATGAACCGCATCAATCCACTTCACAAAAAGCCCCACACTAGTTAACATATAAACAATATAAACCAAACATATCACATATCATACATTTCAGAATAACAAAAGAAAAGCACTTTCTTTTTAAGCAAAATCATTGTCGCAAATTTACAAAAAAGAAACAACCCGTTTGAGAAAGTTTGGGTGTATCATAAAACAACATCCAAATTCCAGTTTTCTTACAATTTATTAGTAACCAAACAGAATTTCAATAAACCTCATAAACTCATTACATAAAAAAGGCCCAATGTTTCCATAGCAACGCCCAGGACAAACAAATTAACATATAAACAATCTAAAACATTGTATGACATGATCATATGTTATTAAAATAACTCCTCATGCTCGTAACAAATTTACCAAATAGAAACAACCCATTTGCGAAAGTTCTTAGCTTTACCCCAAAAAAATAATTCCATTTTCTTCACTCTTTCTCAGCAAACAAACAAAATTTAACAAACCCCATTAACCCATTTCATACAAAAGCCCCATTTTCCAATAGAAAAAACCAGGACATGCTACTTTACAAGTGCATGATCTAAACGATGCATCACATAATCATAGATCATCAGAATAAAAGTACTGACCTTTCGGTTTTCCTCTTTCAATGTTTTGATCCTGATCAAGCTAGAATTGAGACGATCTTCATGGGTTTTGAGTGAGCAGAGAGTGAGGATTGTGCGAGTTGGTAAACAAAGAAAGCACTGGTCGGGAGTTACTGTAGCCGTTATTTAAAAAAAAATACATATTTTTAAGATTGATATATTAAAATAATTTAAAAATATAAAAAAAAATTAAGAAACATGATTTTAATTGCTATTTAGAATTGTTTCAGGTTTTTCCAATTTATTTTTTTCAGCTTTATCTTGGGTTGATTTGTATGGGTTTTATCATAAGAATTTTGTAAGTATCATGGCTCCAAAAGAAAAGAGGGTTGGCGGTAATATTTATGTGCATATGTTTTTGGACGGTTCATGTGGTAAGAGGATAGCAATAAAGGCAACAATAAAAAAGAACATTCCTTGTTATTGTTTTTCCGTGTTTTGCAAGGATTTCATTACATTCAAGGAAGCTAAAGGGTTGACATTCAACGAATGTGAATCAATTAAGCAACTAAACCACAAGTTTTCCTATCATTTTTAGGACATCATCGGCAGCTACAACAATCTTAGATCTTTCGGGATATTATCTTGGTTATAAATAGTTTTTAACCAAATAAAGCACTTATTTTGTGTTACTTAAGTTGTTTCATACTAGACTACGTTGTTATTTAGGTTTATAACATCCAATAAGTCATTATTTAAGGCTCATTAGATATTTTAGGTTTTAGTTAAGTTGGATTTTGTTTTGGGTCTTTGGCTTATAATCCAATATGGATTTATTAGGGTTGTTTGACAAGACTATTTAAGTGTTTGTGTGTTTTAAATTTTGATATCTTTGTTATTTAAATAAAATTAGTGTGTTTATTTAAAAGTAATATCTACCTCTTTATTTATCAAAAAACAATTGAATTTATCAAGATACAACTAACTTCCTATTAAGATGTATTTGTGGTTCTTGGTTCATACAACCAACATATCCAGGTTCATTATAATACATTTCATTCTTTGATTCAAATAATCCTTGGCTTAAATTTCTTTTCACAGTCTAGATATGTTATTTACTCTGTTGTGGGTCCAAAAATCTTTATTTTCTGAACTTGTATTAGTTGGTATTGGAACTTGATTATAAATAACATGTAAATATCAAGTGATATTTATTTGTTTAAGTTTGTTATTGTTTAGGTTCAATTCCACATCTAAATTCTAATTTTTTCTCACATTATTTACTATCCATGTTAGTATTTTAGGATCCTAGATAATAATAATAATAATAATAAAAGTTTGCATTTTATCCAAAATAGTATATCTAGAGAAAAAAAACCAAAATCACAAACAAACAATAAATTTGTTACAATTGGGTTTTCTCAATAAATTACAAGGTTTGAGTTTTTGGCCTTTAAATCAATTTCTAGTTTTTGGCTTTTAAATCAATTTCTTACATGGTTCAATGGTTTGATTTTTTTAAAAATTTATAGTCTTAATCAATTCAGGTGTATAAGGTTTAGTATTAAATTTAAATCAAAATTTTTATTCTTATCATGTTTTATTATATAATTTTATATCCTGTTTTGTTTTTGTTATATAAGGCAAATGTTGCAATTATAATTTCAACATCTAAATTGAATTGTTATTTAAAAAGTTTTTTAGGTGAAATACGAAAAGAGTGTAAACATATAAAAAGTGAATAAACATATAATTTTCTACCACTAACATAATTTTTTTTTAGATTATGATATATCTTCCAATTAAGGATCACCATCACCGTAGAAAAACAATCAAGATTTTAGTTTTCAATCCCTATAAAAATAACCAGAGAGGATGACCTTGTTCTTTAAAAAGGCACGAGATCAAACATAAAGGTAAGAGGCCATGATTACTAGCTTGCTAGGCGATGCATGTAGGAAGCATAAATTGTGTGTTGATCCATTTTTTGATAAGGAAGTTGATAAAAATAAAAATAGGAACTATGATAATATATCATTAGACCATGAAAAATATATAGAAAATATATAGAGTATCTCATCATGAAAAGTGGTATTCTGCTGTGATAACTTTAGCTGAAATCTAGCTTGTATAATTTGATGTGGTGGTAGTTCAAAAAGTAAAAGAAAAGATAGAAATAAAAAAAAAAGAAAAAGAAAATGAGACTCGGTATAATAATATTTATGAATAAAATTAAAATAATATTATTTATAGATGAACTTTATGGAGGTCCTAAAGTAATATCGTTCATGGATAATCTTTACATATAAATTTGAAATAATACTATTTATGGATGAGCTCCATAGAAGAGTTTAAAATAGTATTATTTATTGAAATAGCGGATAGATGAGTTTTAGTAAAATATAATTAATAGACAAGACTGAAATAATATTATTCATAGATAAACCTGAAATAATAATATTTATTGAAATAGTAAATAGACGAGTCTTAATGTAGTGCAACTCATAAATGAAGTTAAAATAATATTATTTATGAATGGGCTTCACGGATAGGCATGAATTAGTAACATTCATGAAAGATATTTTTTAGAAATAGTAAATAAATGGACCCTGACATAGGCATAAATCACTTACAATTGGCCCACCTGAGCTACATGGTAGCTTGACTAGGCTACTAGATTCAGCCCCACTAAGCTCCCTTGTAGCTTGGATGAGACAAGTTTATTTATTTATTTATTTATACTTTTTATATTATTAGCAATTAATGATTAACCTTTTAAGATAAATATATGAAATTTAGCTACTATTCTAAAAGGATACGCATGCATGAAATAACACATCTCACTAAAATTTATTGAGTGTGTGAATGTAATAAATATATTTTTTACTTGAAAATATATTAAAGTAATTTTTTTATTTTTTTATATTTTTTTATCAAAAAATCCAAAAATACCTAAAAAAATTAAAATTCAACAAAAAAAAAAAGAAGGCTCAGCGTCTATTCAAAGAAGAGTTCATATAATTATAAGCTTGAGTTAAACTCGAATGTAAATAACAAAAAATTGACTAAAAAAGTGAAGAAAAGGAAAAGGCCAAAGTACCCTGGCAGCTGGCGAGCCTTGACGGCTTGATAGGCCCACGCACGAAAGAATATTAACCATGAAAAGATAAGGGATGATTGTAAATAAATCCCCTTTTTATAAGTACATTTTCAATTAAGAACCCAAAGTTTTAAGTTAAGCAATTTTATTCAAAACCAGCATTTGTTACCCATCGAAAGAAATTAACGAAGACCATGAAGTTTATTTATCCTTTTGTTTTCTTCACATACCAATACTAGTTCCATTAAATTAGTAATTCGATAATTGGAATGAGGTCATATATGTCTTGATTTTTTCATAATGTGATAAATAATTTTCTGAAAAATAAAATTAGAATTGAAATTGACATTTTTTTCTAAACCCAACTTTAAATTTTTAATATTTTTTCTTACATGTTCCATTATAAGTAATGAAAGACCTTTTATTTACAAGTAGAAGGCCCTCCATTTTGGTCTGAGTGAAATCACAACACACAAACCCCTCGGACAACCCCCATGGAGCCATGCCAGCCCCCCCATGGCCAGACATAATTTTCTTAATTTTTTCCTGTTAACTGATAGGGATAAAATTGATTAAAATCTAATAGTTATAGACTAAAAATGGTTAATCTCGAATTATGGGGACATTAGTGAAAAATAAACTATAGTCTAGGGATCAATCTGTAGTTATCCGAAAAGATTGTATCGTCTCACTCATCCGAGGAGGGAGGATATTCGAATTCTTTCGAATATTCTATTCTTCACTATTTGATTCTCTCCCGCATTTTCTCTCTCTAACCAGTAAGCAACCACCTCTAACACCTCTCTCATCATCGCCTCTCGTAATCAACAAATCAAATCCCTAATTACAATCACTAATCGCTAATCTCACGAGCAATTAACGATAATTCGACGATCTTGTCTTCTCCGGTGGCAGTGATCAGGTGCGGTGAGGAGCAGAATGAAGTTCTGGAAGAGCTTGAGTAATTTAATAGAAGAAACGGTGCCGGATTGGAGAGATGAGTTTTTATCTTATAAAGACTTGAAGAAACAGTTGAAGTTAATTTATCCTAAAGATGGGGATAAGCCGCTGAATAAACGGCCTAGATTGGATGATGATCTAATGGACGGTGGCGATGGCGATGGCGATGGCGATGGCGGTGAGGTGGAGAAGGAGGTGATTGATTTTGTTAGGGTTTTGGAGGATGAGATGGAAAAGTTTAATGCTTTTATTGTTGAGAAAGAAGAGGATTCTGTTATCAAATGGAAGGTATAAATTTTTATTTTTTTCTTTGTTTTTTTTTAAATTAATTTTGATTTATTTTCTCGGTCTTGATTTTTATTGATATCAGATGCTTAATTTTTGTTCATCTTTTATTCGAATAATGTGTTGGATTTTGGGTAGAAATTAGAAGTGTGTTATTTTTTTTTTAATTTTTATGGATTTGCCAAAGGTTATTTGCAAAAATGAAATGCAAAATTATTTAACGAGGCTGGATTATACTCCCTCCTTTGCTAGTGGGAGCGAGTAATCAGGTATATTGAATAAATTTTGGGGTTTTTGAATTGGATTTTAGAAGATGAGGAATCGTGTGTTCTGTGGTTGATGTGGAATTGAAAGTGATTCGTTGACACGAACATAAATAAGATTAATTTTATAAACTAGAAATGCATTGTTTTTTAACGGAAGCGGTTGGATTTGGGAAATTGTGGCTGTAATTGATTTTATTCTAATTGAATGGTTTTTTTTTTTTTTTCCGTTTTGGTCGTGCTTGTCATGCAGGAGCTACAAGATGGAATAGAGAAGGCGAAGGATTCGAATGAAGAGCTGATGAGAGTAGGGAGGGAGATAGTGGATTTTCATGGAGAGATGGTGTTGCTGGAGAATTACAGTGCCCTTAACTACACAGGTACTTGTTTCCTCTTTCTGTGGTTGGTGAAGCCCCATGATCTGTGTGGATTAAACACAATGGCCAGTTTTTTTGGTGACATTGTTAATGCTATGATAAATGGCTTACAAAATGACTGTCTATGGCTAATAAGAACACATATGTTATAATAGTAGCAACCATTTTGTTGAGTTGACATGATTATGGAGTGCCACTTGATAGAAATTGATTAGGGTGGATGCAAGCTGCTGATGGCAAAATTGTGACCCAACTTTACCCAAACTTATATAGAGCAAAGTCTAATATTTTCATGGATGAGGGTCGCTTGCTTAATTGGAGGGAACAAAGAAACTTACTACCGAGGCAGCTACATATCGTAAACTGGGCTTAAGTTGTCGAATTGCTTGAATGGAAGTTTTTGTGATTCAACAACTTGAAATTATTCTTATGAAGTATTCTGTGTGCAGGACTAGTGAAGATATTGAAAAAATATGATAGGAGAAGTGGAGCTCTGGTTCGCATGCCCTTCATCCAAAGGGTAATGCAACAGCCATTCTACACAACTCATGTACTTACCAAGCTTATTAAGGAGTGTGAGGCGATGCTTGATCGAGTTTTCTCTAGAAATGAACCATCAGTCTCACCTCATGCAACTGAGGTAGAGAGCCATGACAACAAAACATCAAATGCAATTGCAGAGAGGTCACTCAGAGTTCCCAACGAACTCCCAGAAATAGAATATACGGAGAGCATGTACGTGAAACCAACACTGTCAGCACTTCGAGTCTTGAAGGAGATTCGGAGTGGAAGCTCAACTGTAAACGTGTATTCATTGCCCCCTTTGCAAAGCAATACTCAGTCTGGGGATTGGAAGAAAGTTGCTGTCTTGGAACAAACGGCCAAATAGACTTTGTTCTGTTTTAGAGAAAATCAGAATTGCTAACTCGTTAGTCTTTCCTCGCCTATATTGTACACATGGATTGGCAGTGGTGTGCTTGAGCCATAGCTCTCTGTATCACTCCATTTTATTTTTGCAAATTCTTGAATGTTGGAATGATGCCCTATCAGTTCTTCTTTGTGGAATATAAATGTGGCTGTGACTGTTATGTTCTTGACAACGAAATAATCACACCATTTTCGTCTATCATATACTTTATATCTCAGGGATGATGGCTGTTTCTTTTAAGAACAACAATGTGAATCTCTTATCGGTGGCATCTCTCAAAACTTGCATGGTTTAGCCTCAACCAGTTGTGTTTGTCTATGTATGTGTATATTGTATAGCGGCTACTAACAAGCTGCGCCTGTAGCTCAGTGGATAGAGCGTCTGTTTCCTAAGCAGAAGGTCATAGGTTCGACCCCTATCTGGCGCGAGCTTTTTCTACAGAAAATACATGTTATAAGAAGTACTTGAGGAGTGCGGATCTAGTGTTAAATATATTTTTAATGATATTATAACTGACTTTAAAATATTTTATAGAATTTCATGTGTTAAAATATTTTATAGTAAATAAATTAAATTTAAAAATTGATTGGAAAATATATTTTATTAATTATTTAAAAAATAATAATAATTTGGAGTTTCTTTTTAGTTAATCTTGTTATTTTAAGATTTATTAATTTATATGATGCCACTGGGGGTTAAAAAATTTTAAATGTAAAAAAAAATATATGATAATTTTTTTTCATATTATCATTAAACTTAAAAATATAATCATGTTGAAAATTTTATTTTCATTAAAATATATTTTTTATTAATTCATTGCTTGTTTATTTTAGCGAACATGAAATTTTTAACAAAATTTATTGTTTTTATTAAAAATATATATTTTATGATTATTAGAGCAAATTAATAAAAAAAAATTAAATAGTTTGTCCATCATTTATCATTTATGTTTGATTGAAAACTAAAAAAAATAATATTATAGAATCATTTTTCAAATCTATTTAATTAAAAAAATTATTTTTCATAAGCAATTTATTATTTTCACATCCCATGCATAATAATTAAAAAATATTAATATTCAAATAAAAACTTATAATTATATTTAATAGCCATATCAAAACTACAATACATATTTTAGTAAATTTTGTCGGAGTACAAGAAAGAAAAAAAAAAGAGGTAATGATATTTTTTTATTTTTAAAAAAATTATTTTTAAAAACAATGCATCAAAATATATAAAAAAATTTAAATTTTCTAAAAACACAGATAAAATTATATTTCTAAATGCTCATAAAATAATAAGCCAAAAAAAGACTAGGCTCATCACCTGTCTCATTAGTGGTAGGTCAGTATGCGTGTCTAACATCACTTGCTGTTTTTTTTATTAATATCAAGAACTGAAATACAATTGTATATTATTGAATGAAAAATATGATATTGTTCCTCCATTGATATTTTTTTATTATTTTTATGTAGTATCATGGTCATCCAATAAAAAAGGTTTTAATTTTTTTAAATAAATAATTTTAAAACTTAAAGGTTATAATATTTAATTGTAGAGTGGATCATTTAGACTTTTCAACTCAACTCAATGTACATGCATTATAAACGGGGATATTCTCGCTCACAAGGAAAAAAGAAAGTGAGTTAGAAAAAAAGAAAGAAAGAAAGAAACTTGAATAAAAATTAAAAAGGAAATGAATTGACAAATCTTTTTTTTTTTGGTCAATAACCTCATACAAACTAATCAATCAAATATTGATTAATACGTTATTAAAACGGCTCTTCTGCTCATAATTTTAAGTTTGTTTAGAACGCTCAAAGTCTCAAAATCTGTAATGTACATATTAGGTTTTACCCAGGTATAGTTTGTGTGAATTTCATTCAAAGGCAATCTTCAAAAATCCATGTTCTTGAAATCTCAACCTCAAAGGTAAGAAACATGTTAATGAATTTGGCTCTTATCAATGCCTTTTAGATGACCAACCTAATATATTTTAGTTTTTTGGTGTTAGCAGAGACGACAGTGATGACACCTTCTAGTCACCTCAGAGCTTGATGCTTTTGTCTAAAAAAACGCAATGCCAAGTAAAGCCTTAGGCAGACCATGCACATCTGAATAACACTGGCTTTTCCTAATTTTTTTTTTGGGAAAAAGGAATCTGAACTACCTAATCCTAGATCCATTTTTTTTTTTTAGATTAACGTGGATGTCTGGGCCAGCTTGCGTGCACTACGACTAATCCCACAGGCCCTGAAGTTAACGACCATGTAAGCTTCTAATGACTATCATATGAGCAACCAAAGATTCAAACCTGAGACCATAGAGGGAGCAAACCCTTTAATCCCAAGTTTTTACCACTTGGCCACCACCTAGATGGTTATCCTAGACCCAATTTTAATTTCACGAGAATGCATATTTCAATGAATTTTTCAAGCATAGTTTCAACATCATGATATCAGCTTGTATGTCATTAGTTCTGTGTTAACCAATGCCTCTCCATGTGACCAACCTTTTCCTCCTGGACTTTGCACTTTACCATTACTTATCAGCATAGCCATATGATCCTTTATATCCCAACACTAGTTCTCCATTGCTTTGTGTGAAACATCAGGGCTTAATCACCTATAACCAAGATGTTCATTGCTGCAGAAATACCTGGCTTCCTGCTAGTTTTTTCTGATGGGATGGTAAAACGGTTTGCCCCAGAAATAGTGCCTGCCTCGGCGGAGGAATCATATTCCAATGGATTCAAGTTCAAGGATGTGTTCATTGACTCGTCTAAGCCGATAACTGCAAGACTATTCCTTCCTGATACTCGGGGTTCTGCGAGTCAGCTTCCTGTTGTGGTTTATTTTCATGGTGGTTGCTTTTGCTTTTGCTCAACCACATGGTTTGGGTTCCATCATTTTCTTGGAGACCTATCTAAGGCATCTCAGTCCATTGTCCTATCTGTTGACTATCGTTTGGCACCGGAGAATTGCCTTCAAAATAGCTTATGATGACTGTTTCAGCTCACTTGAATGGCTAAGTAACAACGCGAGCTCTCAAGCATGGCTTAAGCAGGCTGATCTTTCTCGAGTTTTTCTCTCTGGAGACAGTGCTGGAGGGAACATTACACACCATGTTGCTATCAGAGCAATGAGGAGTAATACTTGTCAGGTTAAAATCAAAGGATTGATGTTGATTCATCCTTGTTTCGGGGGTGAGAAAAGGACCATGAAAGAGACTGGTGAAGGGGCAGCAAGAGACGTGGCCATGAATGATATGTTCTGGGGTCTAAGTATACCTGAAGGATCAAATCGTGATTACTTTGGCTGTAATTTTGAGACGCAAGATGTATCAGCAGCTGAATGGAGTGAGTTTCCAGTGGTTATAGTTTATGTGGCTGGCTTGGATTTCTTGAATGAAAGGGAAGTCATGTATGCACAGTTTTTGGCAAGAAAAGGGGTGAAAGAAGTGAAGTTGGTTGAAGCTGAGGGGCAACAGCATGCCTTTCATCTGCTCTCTTCTGAATCTGAGGCGACTCGTTCGCTCCAAAAACAGATGAGCGAGTTCATGAAGAGCCACTAGCTTCCTAGACGGGTGTCACATGTCATATGTGCCTGCTGTCAGCAACCAGGAGAAATTGCAAAAATATTAGTAAAGTTTGGAGTTGGTAGCCATGTAAGAAGTTTCAGCATGAAGGATTCTCTATTACTGCTGTAATGCTATCGTAATAATTATTGCGATCAAATGTATACCGATAAAATGTTTCTAACGATGTAATCATTGTAAATAACAGAATTCCAAAATGGTTTTTGACGCACGTATAAGAAAGAATTAAGGTTTTTCAAATCCTAAAATGTTTGTTTCAATACATTCTGAAATTCAATAATTTTTAAATATATTTATGAAAATAAATTGCAAACTGCGAGAACTAATTTAGTTATGAAAACGACCTCAGCTAATTGTATCCCGTTGATTGAACCGGGTCTGTAGAATACATTAACAAAATTTCAGTCCGATTCAACAACCGATCAAAAGTTGTCTATTTTCATAAAACAAAAGAACTTATCAGCAGTCTCAAGAAATACCAGAAAATCTCATGCAAATTAGTAACTATGGACCTTGATATAGAAAACATGATATCTGCAGACATCCTCATCCACAGCTGAACGAACCCATACAGAAACAGTCAAGGAGCCAATGCTGGACTAATCTTAACCATAAGAACAGATTCAATACATGACTGCATGCATATACATGAATACCTCCATCCAATTGTATCAAACACGTAGATTCTGCTCATCGAAAGTGCTCGTGACACCACCAATGAAGTCAGCTCCATTGTAATTCCCACGCAACAGTTCCTTTCTGCCTCTGCAAGCTAACTCAGTAGTTAGAAAGTGATCCATGCATTGTTCCCGTGATCAAGTAGTTACTTACCCACAAAGCCAACATGAATCAGCAGCTTTAAATTGACCATTGAAAAGATCAGCAGAGTTCACTCCACTACCTTTGCACAGAGAGCACAGAGAAGATCCTGGTAATTGGACGTCAAAACAAAAGTATTAATCACTAACTACATATTCTATTCCACTACAATTATAAGATGGGCTAGCTTACCATTTCCATCACAGTCAGCACAAATCACACTGTTTGGTTTCGAGTTTCCATTGCTTGGTGCAGCCTATCATCGAGCATTAATAATCAGACCAGCCGATAAAAGTAAGCTATGCAAATTTTCCCTGCACAGTCTGACTAATATTCCATCATGGAAACTTGAGAGTGGTATATAAGCAAGGCTTTTGATTTTTAAACAGGAAGAAGGGTCTAACCTTGACTACAAATACTGCAATGTCTAGCGGTAGAAGAGATGGTGGGCCCTCGTGCCATAAAATGAGAAATCTAGGCCCATCTTCTAAGCAAAGAGATAAAAACAGAATAAGATTTTGTTGATGGGTTGGGCTTCTTTAATAAATATATTAAAAAAATTGATGAATGCTATTGTGTATTTTTTGAGGGGTTTAATAGTAATTATATCCTTGATCTTTGTATCCTTTTTTCATCATTTTCATGGAAAAACGCATGCTTGACTTTGAATTTTGTTATTATTGATTAGATATATGCTTTGTATTTTGTTCAAATTATGCAAATCTGATTTCAATAATATAATATAATATTTTTGGAGATTTATATTTAGGATTTTTGCACAGAAAAAGCATGAATATAACCCAAGGATATTAATTATTCAAAAAAAGCAAGTGTAAAAAGATTATAAAAGGAGGATAATTTCGAGAAAAAAGCTATATCGAAATTAACTACAAGTCACAGGGTCACTGTGGTCAACGAAAAAAATCTCCCTCCACAGTATAAAGACACTGAGAACCACGGAACCCTAATCACTCTCTCCTGCCGAGGTCTCCGCTTTGGTCTTCATTTTCCATCTCTCGAAAGAAAAATCTTTTCTTTAAATTTCTTGCTAACCTTTTTCCTTTGCAGCAAACCCTAACCCTAAACCCCAAATCTTCTTATTTATTTTACTTTCACAGGTACTTCCTCTTTCCTTCCCTCTATCTAATTCTCTACTCAATTTCACTGCAAAACCGTAATTAATCACTTCAATTTTCGTTTTCTTTCAAAAACCCTTATTTTCTTATCACTAACTTTGAGATCTATATTTGTTTGCTATAGAAGTCATGGGAGAAACAAGAGACAACGACACTTACGAGGAGGAGCTTCTAGATTATGAAGAAGAAGACGAGAAAGCACCTGACTCCGTCGGCGCTAAAGTTAACGGCGAAGCCGTTAAAAAGTGAGTATTCTTTGTGTTTAAAGGCTTTTTTTTGTGGATTTTTCTGGAGATTGTTAGATCTGTAGTAAAAGTTTTCGTCTGTGTATTTGAGCTGGCTTGTTTATGGGTTTTAATAACATATGTGGTTGTTTTATTTTTGGGTGTGTAGAGGATATGTAGGGATTCACAGTTCGGGATTCAGAGATTTCCTTTTGAAGCCAGAGCTTCTTCGTTCTATTGTCGACTCTGGTTTTGAGCATCCTTCTGAAGGTAGTCTATTGCTTTGTACTTCTATTTTGTGTTTAATGTACATTTTTTTCTAGTTTTAAAGATTTTTTAAAAAATTATGTTTATGTTAAATTTTCAACAAGTTTGAAAAGTAAAATGTAAATATTTTGGTGGTACGCATGGTTTCAACACCTCAGAAACTCTAATTGTGTAAGGTTTGTTTTGTCTATGTTTTTCTGGAGGATTTGGAGTAACTTTCAAGTATATAGATTTCAATTATTTTCTGAAGTTGCATATCTCTTCGTGTGACTTTGTTTTTCCTGTAGTCTAATAAATTTAACTGTGTCCTTGGATGAAGTCCATGTTTTGTAAATTCAATCATGCATAGCGTTGAATTTTAATTTTCTTGCTTTCATCTTAATGCTGGTCACTTTTCTTTACTGAATTTGTAGCTTTGCAGAAGTTATTTGATGTTTTTTTTTCCCACCTAAGTCATTGTGGTTTTTTTTTCAGGTAATATACAATTATCACACTCTTGATTTTGGAGCTGTATTCTGCTATGGTAAACCTTTCAATTAAAGGATCCGAAAGGTTATGTTTTACTTACCAAGGGTTCCTTCCGTACAATTTTCTTTGGTAATTCATCAGTGCAACATGAGTGTATCCCTCAAGCCATCTTGGGGATGGATGTCATCTGCCAAGCTAAATCTGGAATGGGAAAAACTGCTGTTTTTGTTCTTTCTACTCTTCAGCAAATTGAGCCTACCTCTGGACAAGTTATTGCCCTTGTTCTATGTCACACTAGAGAGTTGGCTTACCAGGTATCTTTAAGTTACAAAATTCACTTACCAGTGTATTACTTAACCTTTGCTCCATATTGGAATATATGAAGGTGTTTTCTCTCATTTTTTGGCTATTCTTTTCTTTATAGATCTGCCACGAGTTTGAGAGGTTCAGTACATACTTGCCTGACACCAAGGTTGCTGTTTTCTATGGTGGTGTCAATATCAAAACTCACAAGGATCTACTGAAAAATGAATGCCCTCATATTGTTGTTGGAACACCTGGAAGAATCCTAGCACTTGCTAGAGATAAGGACCTTTCTTTGAAGAACGTCAGACATTTTATCCTTGATGAATGTGACAAAATGCTTGAATCACTCGGTAAGTGTTTATCCGAAAACCTTCGCCCAAGATTCTTGCTCTCTCCATGTTTGATTAGATATTGATATCAATCTTGTGGATGTTTCTTGTGATCTTTTTGCAGACATGAGGAGAGATGTTCAGGAGATTTTCAAGATGACGCCTCATGATAAGCAGGTTATGATGTTTTCTGCGACGCTCAGCAAAGAAATCCGCCCAGTTTGCAAGAAATTTATGCAAGATGTAATGTCCTATGACCAGTTATTCTTGAATTTAGAAGCTTTTTGTTTTTAATAATGCCGGATGTCACTGTGAGTCTTCCAGATATTTAGATCCAGTCGCCCATCTAGAAGGTCAATACATGGTCACTTCTTCTGGAAATTGTGTTTTGATGTCTGTTGGGGCAGGTGTCAGAGAGGGGTGTGGCTTTATGTCACTTTTTTATTTTTATTTTTGAGTCTTTTTACATTTGTTAGGATATTGCTCCTTTTATTTTTATTTTTTTTTGTGGGGGGAGGGGGTTGCTGGGGAATGGGAATGCAATGGGATTGGGTGTGGGGAGGGGGTGGTATTGAGCTGCAGTGGCACTTCCTTGTTATGACTAAAAAATGTATGTGCAAGGAGACTATTCAGATGGACAGGAATCTCAATTGAGGGGATGCGAATCCATCATTCATTTCCTTCCGGATATCATTATCTTCATGAGGGCTCCTAATATGATTTACAATGATACTTTCTAAGAGGGGTGTGGCTCTGTGTTTTTTTTTTAGTCTTTTTAGATTTGTTAGGATATTGCTCCTCCTTTATTTTTATTTTTGGGGGTTTCTGGGGAATGGAAATGCAATGGGATTGGGTGGGGGGGTCTCCATTCTCTGTGGTGACTTCTGTTGTCTAATAGAGTTGTATCGACCTGCGGTGGCACTTGCTTGATATGACTAAAAAAGTATCTGCAAGGAGACTTTTCAGATGGACAGGAATCACAATTGAAGGGATGCGAATCCATCATTCATGTCCTTCTGGATATCATTAGCTTCATGAAGGCTCCTAATATGATTTACAATGATATTTGTTCCTTTCAGCCGATGGAAATTTATGTCGATGATGAAGCCAAGTTGACCCTCCATGGTCTTGTGCAGGTATGCATTCAGATTTTATATGATGTTTTACATTGTTAACTGAGCAAGGCAACTCCAGGTTATAATGCTAGGGATGGGGTTTGAGTGGGAAGCTAGTGATGAGAGAGATGAGACAGGTTAGGAAGGAGAATGAGGGGCTGGACAGAGCGGATACTATGGAATGAGGGGCTGGACAGAGCAGATGCTAGGGAGAGATGTAGAATGAGTGAAAAAGATGGGAAGAGGAGCGGATGGCTTACCTTATGGAGAGAAGGGTTTAGGTATTAAAGAAAGATAATGCACCCATTCTGGCTTTTCACTGCTGACAGGCTGGGCTCTTTGTTAAGAGTTGTGTTCACCCTTTTCTTCTTTAGGACAGTTGCTCCACATAGACAACATCATTGTACCATAGCTCTCTTGACAAAACATTATTGTACCAGTTTCTGGGGCATCTATCTGACTATCGAAATTGAAATGCAGCACTACATCAAACTGACTGAGCTGGAGAAAAACAGAAAGTTAAACGATCTTCTTGATGCACTGGACTTCAATCAGGTTGTTATCTTTGTTAAAAGTGTGAGCAGAGCAGCTGAGCTGAACAAGCTACTCGTGGAGTGTAATTTCCCGTCCATTTGCATACATTCTGGCATGTCACAGGAAGAAAGGTATGTAGATCCTTCATCTGATATTATTAGCAACACTGTTTCAGTTGTTTGGAGTTTATTTCCTTTCATTGTTGTCTCTGACTGTACTTTGCCTTTGGTTAGCTAGGTCTTCTGGTAACTATCTGGACTATGATAGTTGCTCTAATTGCTTTCTTGGTCCTTTGTTTTAATGTTGCTCTAGGGCCATTTGAGATTGGGCGTGTTTTGACAGGAACAGCTTTGTTGCTTGAATCATTTTTTGGTGTTCAATTACATCTCGGAACCGTTGTTGGGGATTATCCAGTATGATTTATAAATGTAGTGTTATTGGTTGCCTTCTCAAACACAGGGTGTATAGTTTTGGGTGCATCATTTGAGCATCTAGAATACGCATAGATAACTTATTATTCTGTATGTGTTTGGTTGGTATTCTGTATCATTTCTTTGGTAATGATTTGATTGTTTTATGGAATCTTCGTGGTTGACATGGAATTGAAATTTGCCTTGTTTTTCTCCCCTTCCATTGGTGGTATATTTTCTTTTTAAAGGTGGTCTTGATTTTATGACTTAGTTGAAAGTCATTCTTCAGTTTTTGAATTAGAAACGAGTTAGTTGGAGGGCATCCTACTTTCAATAATTCAATGTACTTCTGTTCTAGCAGGTGGAAGATTTTTAGCATGTATAGTGTAGTTATAGTATACCTTTATCAGGGACAAGCTATATGCTGAATGTATGCCATTTGCAGGTTGATGCGCTACAAGGGTTTCAAGGAGGGTCATAAAAGGATTCTTGTTGCCACTGACTTGGTTGGCAGGGGTATTGATATTGAACGTGTCAACATTGTCATTAACTATGACATGCCAGACTCAGCTGACACTTACTTGCACAGGGTAAAATCAGTGGAATTTGTTCAACAAATCTGCTTGCTTGCTTTTTTTTTCCCAGTGTATTGTCTTTGGTGAAATGTTACACTGTTCTCACTGTTGCTTTCTTGTCAAATCCATGGCAGGTTGGTAGAGCTGGCAGGTTTGGCACAAAAGGCCTTGCAATTACTTTTGTATCATCAGCTTCGGATTCTGATGTTCTCAACCAGGTCTTACTATTTATCCTTTTTCATCAAATCTGTATTGTTTTCTTAAATTTCTTGCCCATTCTAATTCTTGTTGGCTTATTGCAGGTTCAAGAGAGGTTTGAGGTGGATATAAAGGAGCTTCCTGAGCAAATTGATACTTCTACATATAGTAAGTTTCACAATTTATTAGAAGTTATTAACACGGCCCATTGCTTCCCCTGTTTCTTTCTATGTTCGCTTTCATTTCCTGCTATTCTGAATTTTGACAACCGAAAGAAACTCAAGAATTTGTTTTTCTAATGATTTTGTTTAATTTTTCAATGTTCAACCAAAAGCAAAGGAGTGACCTAGCTTACCAGTAATCTTTTTTCCTGTTCATATATTTTTTTGGACGGGGTCAGCATGTAGTTCCTATTTCTTGTTTTGCCAACCGGTATTTTTTTAAACATAAAATCCCCAAATTTCCTCGGGTGAATAGAGATTCATGGCAGCGTGTTTACTTTTATTGCTTTCATCATAGAAACCTTTTATGGCTTGGTGGAAGATGGCATTATTTGCTGATTCTTTTCAACCTTTTTCATTTGCAGTGCCATCTTAATGGAGATTCAATCCGCATGATTTAGATTTTGATGGTGCTAGAGTCCCCCTTTCTATCTTATATGTTCTGCAGACTGTGCTCTGCATAATGCCCTTGTATTGCTGGATCTTACCCTATGACGTATGCAGCTTTTGAATTGTTGTAGCTTTCGGGGCTCTGGTTATTGGAGAATTGAGTAGAGTTTGCTATTATGTTGCATGAAACATCGGTACAACGGTATCTACATGCAGTATAACCAGTTTAGTTTTACGGGCGGCCATTTTATCTTGTATCATTGTTCTAGATGCGCCAGGTATGCAGGAATTCAGTTCTGGATAGATGGATGTCTTGATGATTCCTGAATTTGAAATTGTTGTCTTGCATCACTTGGTTTTTCTGGAATCTGATTTTACAGTAGAAATTCATGGTGCGTGTGGTGATGCGCCTGCCTTCCTATCAGGGAGTGATGTTCTTTTCTTATTCATATCAATATTTCTAGAATATACATGTCCCTGTATTTTCATCCTACCCAGATACGGTTTTCCATGGTGGCTTGAATGCCGCCCTATCAAACAAAGATTTGGTTTTTAACTCGTTGACGGTCCACACTCCCATTTTAAAATAATTATTACAGATTCGGCTTCCCTGTTAGATTGCATGGATGTGTTTTTTTTTTAAGTAATAAATTTTTAGTATTTTTATATTGATATGTTGTGAAAAATAATTATTTGAAAAAATATTATTTTGTTATATATTTTAATAAAAAATAGTTTAAAAAAAAACTGAATTTCAAATATTTCTAAAAAGCTTTGGCTAAAGGTTTTATTTATTTTTGTTAAAAATTATTTTTTTATTTTTTGAATTGTTAAACGTATTTTTTAAAAAATAAAAAAAATATTGTTTTGATATATTTTAAAATAAAAAATATTTTAAAAAACAAACATAATTATACATTCCAAGAAATTAACAATGGATTAAACTGCTTTTCCATCCCCCTTTCTGGGTTTCGTTGTAAGATTTCAAGACAGTACATTTGTAGTTGCTCCCATTTTTGTTCCTTTGATTTTTTAAGCGGTAGCCTCTGTTTGTTTCTGTCTTGAAGGATCCTTGATTGTTTTTGGCTTGCAGCTTCGACATCATTGTTTTTCTTTGAATAGTTATGATGTGTTATTAAAAATATTTTATAAAAAAAAACATGAAAATATTTTTAAAATATACGTGCAAGAATTATAATTCTTAAGAACATGGAAGGTATGGGTAAAAACAATCCAAAATACAATAGTGAGATTTAGAACATCACCGCTCAAGTTCCAAAGCTGGAAATTAGGGCACTGAAATCTCCCATGGCTGCATTTAACTACTACTATATCTCAATGGTATCATAGCGGAATTTCTTGGCCTGCATTCATTTGCTTGTAAAAGTTATGGTTTTGCATTCTATTTATCACATTCGGCAAGGTGATGTTCTAAGTTGCCTCTTCGCTACCATAATTATTAAATCTGGCATGACAAATTGACTGAAAATTTTCGAAACTCGACCCGAGTTGTGTATTTAGTTAAACCGAACAAAACGCAGCTTTTTTTAGTATTGTATCCATGGCTAGTGCATTCATCTCAATTAGAAGCTTCTCTCCAGTTCTACATATCAAGTTCTTGGCCGATGCCACAACTCACATCAAATATCGCCTTATGAAGAAAAAAATTAGAAAAAAGAAAGAAAAAAACTACAACATGTTAGTGCTTGATGTATCCAATGAAATCAAGGAATGGAATTTCCCTTTTTTTTCCTCTTGTTTTTATGAATCAGGCATGAAATTTCCTAAGAATCTTTGATGTATAATGACGTATATCTTGGAGAAGGAACAAAGGGGAAAATAATCAAATATCACCATGTTTATATTGAAGAGGTTATTCCATGGTATTTGCTTTTTTTTTTTTATTTGATTTTCAACAGCTTAATTTCTTTTGAAAATCTATGAACTAAAAAACTACTTGAACTCGATATTTATCTAAAAAAAAAAAAAACCAAGCAAAACCTTCAAACTTGAGCATACAACTGTGCCATGTCGTGCCGAGTAAGTGTATGCACGGCTGTGATTTATACTCGAAGTCTAGGTCTCTTCTCATTAAAAATCTTGGTGTTCTCCATGTTTAATTTTAAATCTTTAATTTCTCAGTATATAATATTGTAATTTTTTTAAATATGGAATTAAAAGCTTTTAAGAATATAAAATATATCAATCAAGAATTTTTTAAAATTAATTTTTCATTATCCATTAATTTTTTGAAATTAATTTTTCAATCAAGACTTTTTTGTAATTTTTCTCTCTCTTTTGTGGGAGTATGATGAAACAAGAAAAAAAAGAGAGGATATTTCAAATAAAACCTAGTTTAAATTATTTCCTTCCTTGCATGGATATTTTATGCCCATCTTGCAATTTTTTTTTCAACTCATGCATAATTTCTTCTCAGCACATTTAATTGAAGGCTTGTATGAAGGAGAGGGGAGAGAAATGTGAGGGGAAAAAGAGAAAGATAAGGGTTATTTAGGGCTCATGAAAGCTTCTTCTTTCTTTTTTTAATTATATTTTGATATTATTAAAAAAATCTTGATAAGATGATTTCAATTCAATCCTAAAAAATCATAATATATGTTAGGAGTGGGTTGCATATATCATTCAAAAAAATAATGGTATTATTTGCTTTTTAACTTGTGCAACGCACGCAGCAACAAAAAAAATAAAAAGTAATATTAAAAAGCTATTTGTAGTTGTTTCGGCTAGCCCAAACAATTGGTTCCTTCCTCTTATTATTTTTTAAAACATTTTATATTATTTATTTTATATATTTTTCTTATTTTTTTTATATGTTGATTGACTTAAGCATGAGTTTCTTGTATTACAAAATAATATAAATCAATCCTTGTAATCTTATCTAATAGTTTAAATTTTTGAGTTTGAGATTATTTTTTAACATAGTATTAAAGTTTTGTTAATCAATTGATTACAAATTTGAATTTTACTATTCTCATTTTTTTATATATAAAATTAAGTATAAAATGGCGCCGAGCCTATACAAATTTTAAATTTAAGAAGTTTTCACTTAAAAATATATGTTAAAAAAATATAAATTTTATTTTGAGACCTCATCTCAAAACTTAAGTTTTTAAATTAAAATAGTTCTTTGACACCTCATTCCACAAAAAAACTTATTATTTTAGGAGCAACCAAGTTTAGACACAAAGCCTATATTCAAGCTTATATATCTTGATCTAAAATCACAGCTTATAAAAAACCTAAAAAACCCAATTTTTATATAAAATCTTTTCACGGATTTATAACTTCAATTAATAATAATGCTGAATTAATTATACAATGATACCTTAGGAGGGAAACTAAAATCCAATCAAGATTTTGCATGCAGATTTTCAAATTAAATATCTATGTGGATGAAAAAATATAATTCAAGTCATACATGTTCATTTTAGGAAATATTGTACATAATATTCGTATCTTTATCAAGTTCAAGTTAATTAAAATCCGCATATAAGATCTGTTCATCTTGAATTTTGCTCCCCTCAAATTACTGATAATTAATATGATGAATTGTGTTAGTTTAATCTTAATCCTGTAGATTCTAATAGATGGTTAGGATGATTTCATATAGTTAATTGACTTTAAAATTAATTAAATTTATGTAATTTAATCATACTATATTTTTTTATAATATTAATCGTACTATATTTATGATAAATGAGAAACTTATCCTTTAAATCAAATTGGATTTAGAAAAAGATTTCAAATTTATATAATCCCTTTTAAGTCACAACTGTAGATTTTTTTTTTCCTTTGGAACAAGATTCATTTTTTAACTTTTTTTTTTGTCGGTAAAATTTTTAATTAGTCACCTTCTTACAGATTTATCAATAAAGAAGGGATGATGTATGAGATAATTCAAAAAGGATTTTCAATCTTTTCATATAAATTATAAATTTACTACCGTTTTTCTCTTAAAATTAAAAACTCAAATCTTGTTTCCTAGTTACACCATGTTAAACAAAAAAAAAAAGAATTAATAGGGGTTCTGGTATTATATATATATAAGATGAACATGCAACCCAATAATCTAGGCTTTTAGGTTAAAAGTAGTATCCATTCTCGTGTAAGATCTCACAGATACACAGACCCAAGGTGCCATGAGTCGAAGAGTGTCTTCCCACTGCAGATCTCCCCAGCAATAACGTTATTACCTTCTGTGCTCAGGTTCTGAAAATCCTTGCAAACATCATAAAAATCACAGCATACCTTACATAAACGGAAAATATCTGTCATGAGTAAAAAAGTAATAAAGATCGATGTGGTTGCATGCCTTAAACAAAATCCCGTTAAAAAAAGAATATGCGTACAGTAAGATTGATCTTTGGTTACTGGCCCAAAATATCCCTATATATAGAACATGAAGAAGTATACTGGGTATTCATTCTTGAGAGATAATGTAACAGTGTTACATTCAGTAAAGTTGATTCTATAAAATGGTGAGAAATTGCTGTTCTGTTGCTACGAATTACAGATGTTCTCTAGGCATTAATTCCCACTTGTTTTTTTTTTTTTTTAAATATATTCAGCTATACATATGATCATTTGTACTTTACTATATCTATTATAATTTTTATACATCGAGAAACTAAAGCAAGTAGCCATAAGCTGAAACCTTTTTCCTTGAGCAGGAGTCGTTGCTAGCTACCTTGTTTATCTTTTGTATTGCTACATCTAATATTGGCTTTGGAGATGCCTCGAAGACCTTCAATGTGTTGAGTTTTGGTGCCGTTGGAGATGGCAAAACTGACGATTCCCCAGTAAACTCTCTAAGCCTAATCTCTCTCTCTCTCTCAAAAAACAAAAAAAACTATATTTTTTAATAAATGAAGAAGAGAACTTCCATTAACTATGACTGCGTGCATGGCAAAGGCTTTCACAAAAGCATGGGGAGCTCTGTGTGGAGCGAGTGGAGGCACGCCAACACTTGTAATACCACCTGGCCGTGCATTTTCATTGAAACCTGTAAAATTTGAAGGTCCTTGCAAGTCCAACAGTATTCACATTCAGGTATAAATGATACTTGACTTGAAATCCTATCCTCAATTTATTAATATAATTAGCTTATAATTCTATATATATAATTGTCACAGGTAGCAGGGAACATTGTAGCTCCGAGCACCGTTGCCGCATGGGGTGGCTGTGGAATTCCGTTCTGGCTATGTTTCTCTAACGTAGACGGCCTGGTCCTGGATGGATCAGGCCATATTGATGGTCGGGGCTCACAGTGGTGGAATCATGTAATGTATCCTTTTCCAGTTTTATACATGTATTATACTATCTTTATCTCAAATTGTAAGGTCTTCATCGAATTAATCAAGAATTAAGTTTTGCCTTTTTCCAGGGACAGCAGTGCAAGGCACCAGAAAAGGTACTCAGCATATTTCACGAGGAAGAAACTCATATATTCAAGTAAAATTCATCTGGAAAAATACTTGCTTTAACCGTAATAACAAGACTCGGTCAATTCACGGCCGGTAGGTCGGCGGGCTAACCCAATTATTTTTACAAAAACAAAGGGTTTTTACAAAAAAATAATAATAATGAAATGAAGTATGTTTTGTTTAAATTCAAAACGAAGGTTAAAAACAAAAAAAAAAACTCAGCTCATAATGAAATCTTATTTGGACTAGGCTCTGGTTCGGTGGATCAACGAAAGTCACTCATTTTAACTAAATTAAAAAAAATATAGTAGCAAAAATTCTAAATCATGTGAAAAAATTAATATGTGTTCACTATAGACCAAAATACATTCTATTATAAACTTACACAGTGAATTTTCTTATTTGCAAAGGCAGTGTGGGTATTTTTGTCTTTATACATAAAGTAAAATTACCATTATACTCTTTGATTGAAAAAATAAAAGCCTCTGATGTAGGGATATTTTGATCTTCTTATATACTCATTGGTAATTAACAAATTAAACAGATATGTTGGTCTTTTCAATTTTAATTGTATAGTAAAAAATTATAATTAAGTGGATATTTTATTTTATGTAATTGAATATTTTAATCTATGTTTAACTCTTAATTTTTATTATTTTAAGTGTTTCTATAATTTTTTGTACGGGTCACAAGCTTTAAGCGTTAATACATTAATACGGTTATGAATTTTTTTTTATGATTTTATTATTCTATACTTTAAAAAAAATAATAATTTCATGATTACCTTCTGTTTCTATAATTTCTATTTAATCAATTTGTTGAACTTATTAATTAGAACATGCAATTCTTTCTTGGATGATTTTTTTTAGTAATTAAATTTTGCATATTTTACTGCCTAACATGGGTTTTGTAACATTTTTTGGATGGAGAATATTTGTTTGGTGATTATCTTTAATTTTTTTTTTTAGAGTCTTATCTCAATTTGTTTTTTAGAGTTTTATCTCGATCTCATAATTTAGATCACGAGTTTTACATGGTATTTTTTAATATAATATTTTTTTTAAAAAAATTTGTGTTTGATTTTTCAAGATATTATTCTAGTTCATTTATATATTTTTTAATTTATACAAAAAAGTTTATTTTTTAAAATAAAAAATATTCATTTTTAAATAACATTATTGATTTGTTCAGCCTTACATAATTTTTATAGGATGTGAGTTTATTCTATTAGTTTTATTTGTGTTTATTTTTTAAGTCATGAGTTTTTTAGAATGTATATTTATTTTATATTAATTTAAATAAAAAAATTTAATAAAAAAATACATTAAAATAATCAACATACCCAATATTTTTTTAAATAAAAAAACCATAACATATAAGGGTCAAATCTCTAGTAAGTGTGTGATTAAGAATATAGTAATGATGTTTTTAAAAGTATTTTTTATTTTAAAATATATTAAAATAATATTTTTTATTTTTAAAAAATTATTTTTTGACGTCAGCATATGATCTAAAAAATAAAAAAATATTAATTTAAAATAAAAAATAAAAAAAATATTTAAAAAAAAAACAATGCAAAACATGCTTTAAAATGTATGTTAAATTACATGCAAACATAGTGGGCTAAAAACAACTAATGCAGGCACCCTCCCTCAGGAATTATTGAAGCCTGCGTGGTGTTGATTTTAAAGCTCCTAATTTCTTGCCGCAATACAGCCTAATTAATTACTGACAATTAATGTTGCAGGCTCTGCTCTTCGACAACAACAATAACCTTAGCTTACGTGGACTTAATGTTGTCGACAGTCCGAGGAGCCACGTCAACTTGAACGATTGCAATGGTGTCTCTATCTCTGGCCTTAAAATCACTGCACCTGGAAACAGTCCTAACACTGATGGGATCAATGTGTCTGGTTCAAGCCATGTCAGCATAGTACAGTCTACCATAGGAACAGGTCATTTGAATTCTGAACATTTCCTTACTTTGTTTTTCGCTTTATTATTATTATTACAACATATAATTACAGGCACACACACTAATGTATAAATTCAGATAAAGAAGTTATATTGTTCACGTATACTTAAAATATTAACATTTTCATTACTTATAATATATTATTATTATAATGTACAGGTGATGATTGTATTGCTATAAAGGGGGGCTGCTCCAACATCAATATTACTGGCATCAGCTGTGGACCAGGTCATGGAATTAGGTTTGTTAAAAGCCTGGATTTTAATTTTGGAATTAACCAAATACTTTACTCTATTTTTTCTATCCAAGTATCTACATATTTATTTATATTTTTACACTTCATCAAAATTTCTTTTTTATAAAAATATCCTTTTAATCACGAAATGATAATTAATTTAACTATACATACATATTTAAAAGCACATTAATTAGATTGTACAAAACAGAAAAAAATAAAAAGTACATTAATTGAATGTCATTTAATCAATAGATAATTAATCAGAGTTGCAAACAAAACGTTTGGATGTTGTGGGATTTGTATATAATTAACTATGTGACCTTTGCGATATGCATATGTTTTTAGCATAGGAAGTCTAGGAGAGAATGGAGCTACCGAACAGGTGGAGGAAGTCCATGTGCGAAATTGTAACTTCACCGGAACTGAGCATGGAGCAAGAATCAAGACAGTCCCGGTATACAGTATCATCATCAACAGTAATGCAAGAAATAAATAAATGATAAAGAAAATTCTTAACACAGAATATTTTGTTGATATATTATGATTATTATTTTCCAGGGGGGATCAGGGTATGTTAGGAGGATCACATTCGAGCAAATATCGCTTAATGCAGCTGGAAGCCCTATTATAATTGACCAGCACTACTGCGATGGGAAGGAAGAGGGCTGCCCCGACCAGGTAAGCTGATTCGCATTTTGAAGTTTTTATATAGTTCCATTGAAGTTTTAAGAGAAATGCAAGCTTACACCCATAGAAAAACTGATGATCCACAGCCAAAGGCAGTAGCTGTGAGCGACGTGACATTCACCGGTGTCCGAGGAACATCTTCCGATGAGCAAGTAATCACGTTGGATTGTGCAGCAATAGGTTGCAATGACATTAGAATGGTTCAAGTCGCTATCACATCATCAGTTGCTGGGAAGCGAGGAACATCATTTTGCAGCCATGCTCATGGAACATCCTTCTCTACAGTACCCGCGGTTCCATGCCTCTCAGGGAGAGCATTGGCTACGAAGTTCTCGACAGATTGATAATTGATTATTATTTGGCGCTTAGCTGAACAAATGATTAATTTCTTTACAATTCTCATCGCACGATGAACTATTGAATAAATCCCCGCTTACTTTTTACATGCTTCTATGTCATGATCAAATCAACAGAAAGAAGAAAAAAAACACCCCTTGTCTTTGTTTCAAATATTCAATTAAGTCCCTCAATATTTATTCAATTAAAAGTTGAGTTCTCTAATTTTGATCAATGATATATGACTCCCTTTCTATCATTGCGAATGCTTGCCAATAAAATCATGAAAAACTTTACACGGGTTGGTTTTTCAATGAGCTGCAATTCTAAATCAAGATGTGTCGGCTTGAATATAAGCTCGGTGTTGGACTTTATGATGAACTTGATCGTTCTTGAACAAACAAGTTTTTCATGGAATGAAAGATTTTTTTATGCATATATTAGTAAAGGTATAAAAAAAATGTAAAAATGAATTGTTGATTGAGAAATTTTGACCCTCCTTTGTTTATTGAGTGACTCCAGGTATTTATCGAACTTTGTCAAGTCAGGTTATATCGGAACATGAAGAGTTGCACAATAATTAATTAATGTCCAATTTGATTGTAAAGTTCGGTCCTTTCTTGGTGGAAAGGTGGTGATTGTCAATAATATATTGGCTAGAAATAATAATTTATCAAGAAATGAGATACTAATTTGCATAGAATATAATATATATTTTTATAGTTAATAATTGACTAGAAATTATCTTAGTTAATCTTTCATGAAAGTTTATAATTACAAAGAATCTACCAATAAAATCTTTTTGTAGTATTAATGGTAGGTGTTTGGGATGGAATCCGATCACTTTGAATAGACTTACCATTTGACCCAAATAACAAGAATGATGACTTGTTATTTGAGACTTAGTAAGGCTGTATTATTATTAAAAAAAAATTATTCACTGCCACCAATTAGTGATTGATTAGATTTTTTTTTATCACATTATACTGTAGGGAGGGTCATTTTTTTATAATATAAAAAAATATTCAAATAATGATAATCTAAATAAATTCAGATTAACTTGACTAATTAGTCATCTAGGATAACCCGAGAAAAAAAATTAAGACCTAATAGCCTAATGTAAAAGGATAAAATTAAAGAATTAAAAAAAATCAAAGTTAAATTAGGCTAGTCATTAAAACCAACCACTCTGGTTATAAGATCGAGATCACTATATAAAATATCAAAAATAAATCTTGAACAATATTCTTAATTATCAAAAAATTAAAAATAAAATAATTAGTAATTAAAACAATGAAAACTAAATCTGCTATAAAAACTAACAAAAGAAAATAATGAGGATTTAATCAAAAAATAAAAAAAAAAAAATTAAAAGAATGAAAACTAAAATTGGATAACAAAATGAAATAAAATGTCAAAGAGCAAAATTGAAAAATAAACCAAATTAAAAAAATGATAAAAATACAATTAAAAGAATGAGAACTAAATCTAGAAAAAAATATTAAAAGGTAAAATTAAAATAAAAAAACCATGAAAAGGATAAAGAAATAACATTCAAGAGAATGAGATATTTATTATAAAAATAAAACAAACCCAAATGGAAAGGGACAAAAATCTTAAAAAGAATCCCAAAATAAAAACCAATAAAAAAGGATCATGATTAAATTTTTTTCTCTATTATTTTTTTTATCAAAATAATATCATTTTTTATTTTTTAGCTGAATAAAAAACTAAGTGATTAACCAAGAAAAAATCATGTCAACACCTGTTGATTTATTTTTATCATTATTTTTTTAATCAAAATAATATTATTTTTACTTCTTATAGAATAAAAAATTTAATTAACTCCAATAACTCTAGTTATTTGACACAACTCGTGACCTAGGATATAATGAAGGTCAATTTCTAGGTTGGGTTTTCAAACCATGATAAAAAATTAAGCATCAAATATGATATAAAAATTTAATAAAATAAAACAATAAGGGATGAAATGAAAAAATAATAATTAATAAGATAACTCAAAATAAAAGGAATTATAATTGTAAGAATGATAATCAAATTTAACAAAAAAAATAAAATAAAATGATTAGGGATTAAATTGAAAAATAAAATCCAATCAAAAAAAGATTAAAAATAAAATAAATAGGAATAAAATGAATAGGATCAAATTAAAAAAACATAAAAAATCAAGTATAAATTGATAAATTTAAAAAATAAATAAATTAAATTTAATATAATTAAATAATAGAGGATGACTTTCCAAGGTCTGCATATTTTTTAAGATAAAGAGAAAAAAAAAATTGTTGTTATAACTCTCCTCCATTCTATGAAGACCAACATGTGTCGATCTACTATATATATGGTGGCATGGTGTTTTGAACATTATCGTGAAAGGTTACCAACAACTATTGAGAGAAGCCATAAATGCCACGCAAAGAGTATTGCCACCTCCTATTTTCTTTTTAAATTATAAAAAGATTAGAACACCGTCAATTCTGGAGCCAAGAAAACTAAGATTAAAAAACTTAAAATACCCCTTGATCTTTGGGAGATGACCCCAATAATTATACAGTAATTATACTATATAAGAAAATATAAAAACATTCTTAATATTAGTTGTGTTTTTTTTTTAAGGGTATGAGAGTAATTACATGGTGCAAAAAATATGTGAAAACACAATTTTACTTCTAAATGTATTTTTTTTATTATTAAAGGATTTATCAATTATTTTATTATGAATTGCACTGTATATAATTTACAATAAAATAATGATTAGTTTTAGTTTTATTTGTGATATCCGACAAAAGGATTGGATAAAAAATCTAATGATTAAATAATAAATAATAGTTATTAGAAAATCCATTTTAAATCTTGTCTTCGTGGATTTTTTCTTTCTTGTTTTTTTGGGAAAAGTGAACGCTATAAGCAAATGTTCCCCTTGTATGTATATAAGCCGTTGAAAAAATATAATTGGAGAAATTTAGAATCTATACATGACTTTGAAATTATTTTATTGCTCGTATAAATAGAATGTGCAGTGGTGCGTTTAGTATTGATGGCGTGTAGTGCCAGCCATAAATCTAGAAAAATAGGTTTTTTTTTAATTATATAAAATTATTGTTTTTTACGTAGTTTTATATAATAAATTTAATAATTTTTATAAAATTAAATATCTTGATTTATGTTTTTTTTTTAATTTTTTAATTATTTTTTAATTATTTATATTCTTAATTTATTTAATTAAAAAATTTATATATGCTTTTCAATTTACAAATGAAATGAAATTTTTTGTATAAAAAAATAAATTAAAAAAGTTCATATATCTAATTTTTTATTGGGAAAAAAAAAAAAGTAAACCACAACGAGACACGGATCAAAACTAAACCCACAACGATGGCCTGATCTCGTCAAACAACACAAAAATGCCCGGTAACAGCCAGCATTACGCTTAATGGAGCCGGAAACCCTACCATAATCGACCAACATTACTGCAATGGAGAACGTTGGGCAGAGCAGGTAAGCTGATTATTATTCTGAAATTTAACTGCTCCATTGAAGTTCTAAGAGAATACAATGCTAATGCTAATTGCAAAACTAATGATCCACAGCCAGACTGACATTCACTGTTGCCCGAGGAACTGTTCATATTCAGTTGTGCAAGCAATGACGTTGGACTGTGCAGCAATAGGTTGCAACAACAGCAGATTGGATCAAGAAGATATTGCCTCATCGGTGGCTGGAAAGCAGACTACTGCATTTTGCAGCAATGCTTATGAAACATCTGTCACTACAGCGCCTCCTGTACCTTGTCTCTCAAAGTGAGAAATTGCCTAGGATTTTTTAGTACATTAATTGCCGTGTAGTTAAATCCTTGGTTATATTTGGAAAAGGTGATTAATTCAATTTTATTGAACAAATAATTAACCTGGTACTTCATTTTTAGGATGTTTCTGCACTTCAAGAAACTGTTTCGTCAATCCAATACAAGTCTTATTCCCTAAAAGCTGCTAGTGTTTCTCAGTATTGTTCGTCGAAGCATGGATCTCGAACCCCGAAATTCTAAATGCAGAGTGAAATGGGAGCACTCTGTAATCTAAACTATATGATTCCTGCAAATTTTAATTTACAAGATTTATCCATAATATGCATTGCAATATGCTAATTGCTAGAGTTTATGCAAATATCAGACCCACTGTCTCACTTGCTAGTTGCTAGAGCTAATTGCTAGCACTAAGTTTCATGTGCCAATTAAATTTCAATCAATTAGGAATTAGGCACTCAAATATATCAGAACAAACTCATTCTTAGAAGTATAAATTAGACTGCTTCGCTAGCTGGACTCATTCAGAATCTGACAAAACAAACACCTGACCTCACGAAGCTCAGTTCATGACCAGCACTACTATCAGGAAAGAATAGACTGTTAGGTGAACTTGTATTTCGTTTTATACTTTCCATTGGTTTGAAACATGTTGAGGACTCTCACTCTATAAAACTATGGTCTACAAATCATTCTGAAAGCATAGGCATGTACTCAGTAGTCATTAAGTTTATTCGACCGAAAATAGTCACTTAGACTCTCACACAATTCCTATACGAAACTCACAACCTGACATTTCATAACTTTCAGAGTCCGAGTTCGTGTGGGCATTTTTGAAGTAGATTGCATAGTTAACATGTTTTAATTTAGTTCTTAGTTTAGTCCTTATCAGAATCCAACTAGATTTCCTTCCTTATATGCACCCTATTCAGATTTATCTCAGTAGGTCTGAACTTGCTCAAATTTAGTGAATGCAGAAGGTTGGTGGTATCTAGTAACTCTATGCAGAGATAAGCATGAAAATAAATTATGATTTTGTTTGATACCCTAGATGGTTATTATGCTTTGTTAATATCTGAAAACTTAAATGTCCAGATAAGATTGTTTACTACACAGATTCCTGTCCTTATTAGCCAACTTGCCATAACGAATCCACTGTGGGGTGGGACAGGACTGGAGTCTTGGTTGACCAAAAACAAGTAGTTTAAGCAAAGATAGGGCTTCTGCATGCCAATGCAGGAAGTGATAGACATCTGCAACTCTTAGAGGCTGAGCACAACTTGGACAGCAATATTTTTTGAACCTTTCTTCAGATATAATGATGAAAGAACGGTTTTATTTGCTTAACTATGCCACATGGTGAATTTGTCTTGACTGGAAACTGAAATTGCCTAGAATCCAATGCACTCCTTACCAGGTTAGATAATGCCAATGTGCACAAAAAATAAAAGTAAAGAAAATGTGAGATAAATTATGTTGTAACAGACTAGATTTTTTTCTAAATTTGCTGTTACCGACCAAAAAATTAATCAACCTTGGTAAATTTCATGGACATAATTAGATTTAGTTAGCTAATATGATCTATGTCATGCCTTGCATACTGTTTTTAGTCTCATTTCTCAGACTGGAGCAATAGTTTCAGAATCCAAGGTAAACAAAATTTAGATGACAAAAACTATAATTACAAGTATATCTAGCCAAAATGGTCAGGATAAGTTTGAAATTCAAAAATGCAAATTCTTGTCATGAATCATACCAGAAACCAGGTTCAAATTAATGTCCAGTGCAGGCTAATGATGACATTAAAATGGGAGGAGGCAAACAAGGCAAGTCCACAACAGAACCAGTAGTGTCACTTGTCACTTTCTTAATTCTGAAACGCATTGGAAGTTACAGAAAACCTACTCTGAGTAGCCAACACCCGTTGTCATCAGAATTTAACCAAGAAGAGATTAGTAAATGGAGGGTGTATGATGGTTAAGGGAAAGATTAATAATAAAGCGTGTAGCTTACGTGCTTCCACGTGTGGCATAAAGTCTCAGGCAGCCTTATTATAGATTTTCAGGAAATCTATGGAGGATTCTCTTTCGCACCTATATTTCCGATGGACCTGCTCAATTCAGCTGATTCTTATTGACATTTCTGTGCCTGAACTTAATAGGTTACGCAATTCGGAAAAAAAAATTAGGCTATATTAAGGCTGCTTTCTTAGTGAATTCAGACCACCATTTCTATTCATTATTCCACACACACACACACTCTATACTACCATAATGGCCTCTATCACAGTTGACCAGTTACATGCTTATCATGCCATTGATCGAGAGGTCTTTTCTCGATTGGTGATAAATCTTAAGCGAAACCCTGCTGAGTCTCTGCTGGTCATAGCTGTGTGGCTATGGCTGGAATACAAGCGTTATCCTAATGTCATAGCAAAAATGACGAGCCTAGCGGATACTGTGTTGAACATCGTGGCCAATGAAGCTGCACTATGCTTGAATTTTCTAGAATCCACCAACCTTCCGATCATACCTAATGGTGGTGGCCTCCCTTTTACTTCTATAGTCATTGGAAAGGACATTTCATTGGAAATGTTCCTTCAGAATAAATTTACTGCAATAAGTGGAATAAAGAATTTTCTTAACACGGTCTGTGCTCGTATATTCACTGATATTTTGCAGTGTGTTTTAGCAGGCACATCACAATTGATTGGAAACCAACCTCTTGTTGTTCCTGGTTTTCCTCATCCAGTATTTGGTGATGTCACTATACTGGCAAGGTCCATTGACAATGATTTTCCTGCAGGAGGACTCTGGGTTTGGGACCCTGCCCTTACTGTTCCTGAGAATGACAGGACAATGTTTCTTACTTTCTCAAGGGGTTTTCCTGTGACGAATGAGGAAGTGACAGAACTTTTTACAAGTATCTGTGGTGATTGTGTTGTTAATATTCAAATGCAAGCAAATTCTCAATCTAATGAACAACCTTTGTATGCAAAAATGATTATGCGCACTGTCACAGCTGTTGATCAGGTCCTGTGTGGGAGACGTGTAGCAAAGTTTCGGATCAATGGCAAGCACATATGGGCTCGGAAGTATGAACGCAGGGAGTAGTTCGACGGAGCCTAATTCTATGATTGCATAGCATTGTGGTTCACCCTTTGTTGTTGCAGAATAAAATCAACGTTTGGCCACAGATTTGTTTTCTATTGTGATATCGGTTCTCTCCTAATTTGGTTTGTTCAACTTTTCTCTTAAAACTTTTTCCATTTGTGTGTCATTGGCATGCATTATGAATTATATCGGTTGCCATTACTTATTGTCGCAATTAATTAATCATAGCTTATTTCAGTAACAAAAGCTTGTGCCTGAGGAAATGAACAGATTTTCTCTTTCAAGTCCACGTTGCTTCCCTTTCTGAAAGTATCTTACCATCAGATAAATACAATTGTGACATTTAGCCGTAAATTGTTGTTCAATGCAATGGCTAATCAATTGAGTTGGGACAATTATGATTGATAAGCAGTAATAGTACTCGTTGAAAATAGCGGCTAATCATCGATTCACCGACAACTATGATAGTTAACCATTACTCTCTTTGAGAATAGCTGTTAATAAACAAAAAAGAAAATCATGATACTTATCCATTAACACCAGATGAAAACAGCAGTTAAGACAATTTTGATTGTTAGCTATTGATTAGTTGTTGAAAAAAAGTAGTTAGTCCACGGTTAGCATCCATTTTTTTCCTGATTTTGTGCAACAAGTACATTTAATGATTGATAATTTCAGCCTAAAGGTTCCATCCAGTCCTTGAATCATTTGGTGAAAAATATCAGTTCTCCAAACAATTTCACTCATTTCAGCACAAGTTCCTGTCCATATTTTAGAAACAATGAGAAGCCAAATGTAGGAAGAGAAGTTCTGAGCACCAGGTTTCCTTTCTTTCTTGTTAGCTGTTCATTTTTACGTTGGTAGATATCCTATTGAATATCGGTAAGAGCTGTTCGCATTCTGGTACTGATTTGGACTGTACTCGCTGAAAAGAATTTATTTCCAGTAGATTATTTGAAAGACAACTAGCTGAAGATGTTGTTTTAGTTATGCCATTTATCAAAGAAAGGTTAGTCCTTGGCAAATTGATAGTTTGCATGTGTCAAATATTTGTGATTGTGTGCATTGAATAAAGAGACTTGTTCAGTTGCTATTGCCTGCTCCAATGCTCTCCTGAACCTGTTGTTTTTCAGTGCTTAGTCCAAAGGTAGTCACGTCCTGGTCCTACTCATTTTCTATTCAGTCAGTTTTCCTATTCTGGTTACTACCTCTTTCTCATCTCCTACCTGAGACCAATATGCATATGGGACGCTTCTATGATGCACTCAGGACTTGCCGTACTTTTAGCTGCTGAAGCATCCGATCTACTTGTTCTGTCTTTTTTTCTCTCTCATGCAATGCAATGATTGGCTTCTTGTCTTCTTAGTTTCTTGATCATAGTTTTTACTTCTGCATGAAAATAAGGACTTGCTATTTTGTTTGGAATCAATATTGATTGCCAATCGATAAATTGATCTAAGTATGTGTCAACATGGATCAAGTACAAGCCAATTTTGTGGTTTCAGAAATGAATATCCATTTGTTAGTATTGAAATATTCAGTTTCTCACTTATGACAACCCTATGCTATTGCTGATATCAGTTATCAGGACAGAAAGACAGACATTGTGTCATCCTGTATTGTCTGTTTCCTACGATGAATTCATACTGGCTATGTATTTGGTTAATGGCACGAACATGTTTTTATAGAACATAAAATTTGATCAATGTGCATTCTAGAAAATGGGCCCTATTTCGATGCGTGTCTCTGGAATCTGGCTCGGAAAAAAATATCTACAGAAGTTTCTTGATAATTCTTCTTCCTGAACTGATGAGACCTAGGTAAAATAAATAAGCTCGAAACTAGAAGTAGTTTAGTTTATTATTCTCCTGGCAAGTTTTTTGTTTGTTTTTCTTGTTGAATGAGCTTTTGTCTCCGTAAATTTCAATTTTTCAAAAGAATGCAGATGAGAAGATGAGGACTGATTGCATTTCTTGGGTCTTTAGTATCAAATTACTTCTGGCCGCTCACTACTTTCCAAATGCATACAAAAAGAGAAATGTCTATTGTCCAGTAATCTGAATCTCTCCTCAAACAGTATTTTTTACAGCTAGAAAACAATACTACGTTGACGGACACTTCAAGTATTAATAGAATCAAGTCACAACTTATGGATATCTAAGAAAAGATAAATAAGGTCTTGGGCTCTATTCCATAGCCACACCATTGGCTATTCCTCTCTTCCTAATCTGCATCTTTCTCCATGAAGCAACTCTAAAACAAGCTTCTGTAGACCTCAACGTGAAGGAGACATCCTTCCCGTGCGTTCGTTTGATGCTGATAGCTGTAATAGTACTCTGATATGTATGGGCTCGGTAAGTGTTGGCGACGGGCACTTACAACTCACACGGAACCACTAACAGGCAATTCGAAGTTGACGCAACCTGTGCCTGGTGACCAGATTGGCAGGGTTCTATTCCCTCAGCCTGTGATTTGCACCTTTTCAAATCCGTCTCTGGAGATGGAATGCATTTATTATGGCACAGAAAAATAGTCCTCCTCCTCCCAATAGCGAGGGCTCATATCTCCATTATAACTGATGAATAAATGAGGTTCTCGATCACGTGTTGATGTGGTGCATCTACATAGTTGAGTCCATGACAAACCTAAATGTATCAGGAGGCAAATTCATGTAGCTCAATCCAACTAATTTGACATTGAGATTTGGTGCAGTTGAATTGTTATCTACTAGCTGCAGTTGATTGATCCTAATCAAGAACTTAATTCATACTTGATTCATAAGAATATTTTCACTCTTTGAAATAGATAGATGGTGTTACTCGACAAATAGCTGTGGAACTTGACACTTACCTGAATGAGTTTGATCCACACGGAAAACGTATGGGCATTGGTGCAATAAGCATAACAAATCCAGTTGCAGCAAAAGTATCAACAACACAGGAATTTACCTTACAAGTGGAAGAGATATCACAGTTTAAATTAATGATGTTAATGATGATAGCTCGCAAAAGAAGCTCCAAATTATTGTTGCATATGCAGGGAATCCAGTAATGATATTCCTGAATCAGTCTATTGACATGTTAACATGGGTTCTGAATTCTGTTTGTATAGGCTTCACATTCGCTACAGGGCCTTTCTTGGAATCTCATGAGGCTCTGAATTGCACTTTCTGATCAACACCATTGCCAGAATTCAAGAAAGCTCTTGAGAAAGAAGATGGAAAAAGGATCATCTTGATTATTGTTGTGGCAGATTGGCAGTACTGATACCTTTCACTTTACCGCCTGCTTTACAGGATTTTAAGGAAGAGAAAAGAGGAGTAAAAGGAGAGCTGGTATTGAAAGCCGGTCGATGAGAGCAGCAAACGCATCTATAATGCATACATGTAGACAACTCTCAAAGGCTACTCGCAAATTCAGCAGAGAAATCGTGTTAGGAACTGGTGTATTTGGAATTTTTTACAAAGGTGTCGTTTCTTCTTATCCTCCTAAGATCTTAGCAGTAAAAAGTATCTCAGAAACTTCAAGACAAGGTCAGCTTTACTTGTTTATTGCTTTAAAAATTTCCAAATGATTCTGCAATCAGAAACAACAGTTAATTCCAAGAGCATTATAATGAGTAGGTGAAAAGACGTATTTGGCAGAAATATGCAGTAGAGGGCATCAGGGCATATGTGGCATAAGAACATAGTGCAACTCCAAGGCTGGTGCCACGAGCGCCAGCAACTTCTTGTAGTTTAGGAACACAAACCCAATGGAAGCCTTGATTGCTACATCAGCAAGCGCTTTCTTGACTGGAACACTAGGAACAAATATTAACCGGCCTGGCATCAGCATCACTTTAGCTCCATGAGCAGCATGTTCATCCTATCGCTCACCGAGATGTCAAGCCAAATAATGTCATTATGGAAATTTCAGCCTTGCAAGATTGCTATGAATCGATTCTGCGGTTACAACAGTGCTTCCTGAAGTAGCCTACACAGAAAAAGCTACCTCAGAATCCGATGTCTACAGTCTTGGTATGGTTGTAATAGAAGTTGTGACAGGACAGCAGTTCTAGGGTATTTTCGAAGAAAATAGTATACTAAATTATGCTTGTAGTTTACAAGGACGAAATGCATTGCTTGAAGGCGTCCACAGAATGCTAGAAGGAAAATATGATGAGCAACAAGTGAAGAAGGCATTACTTGTTGGCCTGGCATGCTTGCATCCTGACACCAAGGGTCGTCCAACTATAAGGAAAGTAGAGCAAATTTTGTTGAAACCCAATGAGCCTCTAATGAAGGTGTCTGAATCCCGGCCGACTGCAATTTTTGTGCCATTATATTCCTCTGCGTCCACCGCAAGGTCTACAGCTGTTCAAGTGACAAAGATGAAAAAAAAATTATGTACTTCATTGTATACATGATTAATGTAATAATGTGTGTATACTTGAATGGATAGCGATGATTCTGTATAAGAAGAAAAGGGTACATTTGGACTCTGTAGATTTTGCAATGTTCCACTTTGGTCCCTATATATTAAGGTTTTTCAATATTAACATTTTAATTTTCTCAGAAGTTTCAATACCGTCATTTGCTGTTAAATTAGTTTGGTAACGATGTTGGTTTTTTCTTTGTCGTGGCTCTCACTCTTTTGGTGTTTGTGGGGTGGAGCCCAGGGGAGGCTGGCAGGGCCCGACCCCTGAAAAAGAAAGATCTTGGTTTTTCTTGAACAATTTAATATTTTAGGGACAAAACTAGTAGAATTTAAGTTTTATCCCCTCGCAAAATAATATTTATAATCTTGACTCCTCTAAAAATATTTACTAGATCCAAGTGTATTTTATAATGAATTGATTAAATCAAGAATCATATTTTACTGTATTTAAAAATAATTTTTTTCATGGTTTTGCTGTTAGTTTTTTTATTTTTTAATTATCTTTTGTTTATAACTGATTGATGTGTTTATAGAGTTGATGGTCATTTTCAGTATAATATTTAATCATGTGTATAGCTGATTTAGTAAATTTGAAAGAAAAAAATTACAAAAATGATAAATTAAAAACATAATTATTCTGCAAAGATAAAATTATATTAATTAGAATACGAAGATGGGTTAAAAATTCATTATTAGAGAACAAAATGAAGTGTTGAAAATTTTAAAGTTAATGGATTGATTCCCCCCTAAGATTGAAAGTAAAAACTTGCAAGACTTTAGAGGCCGAAATGTAATATTGAGAATTTTAAAGGGGTCTAAAGGAAAACAAAATGCGTCTGCCGGGAGTCGAACCCGGGTCTATTGCTTGGAAGGCAATTATCCTAACCGTTGGACTACAAACGCTTGCTGAAATTTTGGCTACTACAATATTTATTAACAAGTAATATTTCTGGCCCGCAAACAGCGAGACAAGAAGAAGCCGGCTGTGTTGTTGGAATATTGAAAACATGGTCCGAAGACACCGACGTCGAAGTAAAAAGGGAGGCACAATGCACCAAATGGACAAGCTGGTCGAGAATCCAATCAAATTCATGGCTACAGAAGTCTTTGGACTGTCTTTCATGTTTCTGTCTTCCCTTTCAACATCATCAATATTCAATTCCATTCTCCAATCACTCACACTTAAGACCCTTTCCTCATCTCTATCTCTAGTTATCATTTTGCTAAAATAAAGAAGTCTTTGTGCTAAATCTTTGAGAGAAAGGCCTGAAGATTTTGTATAGTACTATCCCATGTAGTAGTATTTATTGTTTGCATGAGGTAGTTGTCAGGAAGTGAGTTTGACTCCTATACTGGAGAAAATGTGCTCTCCGTATTTTGTAAATATGAACCCTTTTGTTAGTTTTGTGATTTGGATCTCTCTCTGGAGTTCTTTCCATAGTTTTCATGCCTCTCCAATGCAATGCAATGTGTCTTTAAATGAATCATGTCCTGCTTCATTGTACTATGTTCCAAATACAATGAGAAGTCTTGATGAAACAGCTTCTTTATTCAATGTGGATAATGATGCAGTAAAGAGAACTATTGATGGTTTCCTGATTATGATAAATTGCAGCTGTCTGGCTGAGCACGGATTCTTCACTTGGCACATGGATTACGAGGTCCAAAAGGGGGATACATGGGAGAGCATTTCGTCGAAATTCGGGTTCTTTGTGCTGGCAATGTCAGAAAAGGTGTTGATTCCATCGGTAATTGTGACTCTTGATGTTTTATGTGGCTGTTCTAACAACGCAGACATGGTAACATACAAGGTTCAAAATGGAGATACTCTGTTTACAATCTGTTCTCGGTTTAAAGCTAATAAAACCAAGACTGTCTTATTGAATGGGCTAGACAATCCAGACAGTATCCGCGAGAGAGATATTCTGTTTATCCCCACACCAGGTTAGAGAAGTAATTTTTGTGATTGTGATTGTGATTGATGATTAGTATAAAGGGGTTCTAATATTTCTGTTGTTTCATCTGATAAATGTCAGTATCTTTGGCTGGTAACTTGAACATATATAAGAGCTGCCCTATGAATTACATGTTGTTTGAATTGCTCTTTGGTCATTATTTAACTGTATAGAGTTAGTACTAAAGAGAATATGAGGTAAAGTTTTGCTAATTGAAATCCTTTTGTCTTCTTAGAAGGTTACATTTCTTGGTTTACAGTTAAAACTTCTGGTATATGTGCAGCTGGCTTCAGAACCTAATTACATCTTTTTTTGTTTTGCATGGATGTTTATGTGCAGCTGGCTTTAATAACCTTACTTCCATTGATTATCACAACCAAGGTCAGTCATAAACTATAACATGTCTAAATTCAAGGTGAACCACATCATGTCTAAATTCAACGTGCTTCTGTTAATGAATGAGTGAATCCTCTCGTAGTAGATATTACATTTACATATAGCACATTGTCATTGTAAGTTAATTTTGGCTGCCTTGCAGAAACGAAGACCAAAAAAACACCAAAATCTCGAATTTTTATTGTGGTTGGAGCCATTTCAGCTGCTTTAGTTGTCGTACTATTGTCGATCCTACTTTTATTTTGGAAAAACCATATGAAGAAGCGAGCTCGACAACCGATAGCTTCCTCAAGGAGATTGAATTGCTTGCACTGTTATCTTGCATCATGTCCTCAGCATAGAAGTAAATACAGTTCATTGTGGAGCATCTGAATTTTAAGCAATGGATTTTCTTTTCTATTCCTCCTTTTTATAGTACAGATGGAACCTTGTAGCAGAGCCTTGTTAAAGACTGTCTTATCCCTATAAGGTGATTGATTCATGAGATATTTTGTTGCAGAATCTGAAGAAAGCATGGTTTCTTCAATCGGTTCAGACAAAGCTACTGTTTTACCGTACAATGAAATACGTGAAGCCACCTCCAACTTTAGCAGATCTTTAATAATTGGCCAAGGATCTTACGGATTAGTCTACCTCGGAAAACTACGAGGAACAGTAAGAGAGCCAATGTGCCTAAAATGAACCCCCCCACAATGTTTGTGCAAGACTTACTCGTTTGTATAGAAACATAATCACCATACATGCTTCTTTGCATATGCATGTAGGATGTGGCCATCAAGCAGATGAAAGATACAAGCTCCAAAGAGTTTTTGTCAGAGTTAAATATTCTTTGTAAAGTTCATCACATAAACTTGGTAAGGTTCTTTTTGTCAGAGTTTCTTCAATAATGCCCTTAATTTAGTTTGTCTGGAAATGTCAAGATTCACCAAGCATACTTTTGTCAATTCTATATATTGCTGACCCTTTTTTTCCTACTTCTTTCTAACATTTAATTAGATCGAGCTTATTGGATATGCGGCTGGTGGAGAGTCCTTGTTTCTTGTTTATGAATTTGCCCAAAACGGTGCATTGAGTAATCATCTGCACAATCCTGCATTAAGAGGTTTGGAATTCCCAACTTCTTACAGCTAATGATGGAATTTCTTTATGATTTCAAAGTTTTTTGTTATTGGTTTGCGTCAAAAATACTGTGAGAACAATCTTCTTTATCACATGGTTGTCAGATTGTGTATCATCAGTCATTATGCATTGTATGTTGTACAGCTTATGGTAGCAACAAGAGTTGAGTGGAATGCTTAAATTTTCTTTAAATGATTTTTTAGTAGAAAGGCATGTGTGAATCTAGTATATCAGCAACCGTACCGCTATGCTTCAACTTGTCCTTCAGCTCGCTGATCTTCACCATTGTGCTTCAACTGCATATTGAGATTCTTTTAACTTCGCACCTTTGCGCCTCACGAATCTACATTGATGCTTTGAATCTCCATACCTTTCGATGGAACTTCGTACTTCTATGCTTTTAAATTCCTTACCAACCCTTAATTTGTCCTTCAATACTCCATTTTTCTGTTCTCAACTCCATGCCTTTTTGTTTCTACTTCATATCCCTGTGCTCTGGTTTTATTCTTTGGTGTCTCGGATCCCAATCTTTTGCCTTCAACTTCTTATCTTTCTATTCCAATTACGATCATTTATGCTTCATATCTACACCTTAGTCATTTCGCCGCTAGACCTATATGTTTTGATGCCTCCATACCTTTTCTGTTTCATGTTCATATATTTGTGCTCGAGGTTACTTTATATGCTCTTCTATCTAACACCAAGAATATGAGGGTTTAGTTATGTTATTTTGCCGCAATTGGTAAAATAAGGCAAAACTCTACAATAAAATGAATATGAAAGTACTTCCTGATTGCATGCATGTGTGTTCGTGTATGTGCGTGTGAGTGTATGTACTTTTAAGCGTATGCATCTTAGAATCACTGCTTTACAGCTAATTATTTTGAAGGATGGTATTGAAGCACCTGGTCATAATAATTCAGATTGTTTACTAGTTAGTTATTAAGCTTTGATGCATTTGTAGGTCATAAACCTCTCCCTTGGACTACACGAGTTCAGATTGCTCTTGATGCAGCTAAAGGTCTTGAATATATACATGAACACACAAAACCTTACTATGTCCATCGAGATGTCAAGCCAAGCAATATTCTCTTAGACTCCAATTTCCACGCAAAGGTAAGTATTATTGTAGCAGTTTTTAATGGTGGTTGGCGAAATACTCTGGATATTGAGCGTTTGTATAGAGGGAGAGATTCGTTCCTTAAATTTTGAGCACTTGCATATAAATTCATCTTCTTTCGTTTAGATCATCTCCACTATTGTGGTACAATTCTGGTTGATTTGATCTCATTTCAATCCCTTTAATGTTCAATTTCTGTCCACCAGATTGCAGATTTTGGGCTGGTAAAGTTATTAGAACAATCTCCAGATGCTGGAGGTGCAGCAGCATCTAGAATTGTTGGCACATTTGGTTACCTTGCACCTGAGTGTGTACTTACTTAAGCTCTCATTGATGATTTTGCTTTGATTCTTGTTGTCATCATCATCTGTTCATCTACTGATGTTTCAATATATATGATCCATTAAGAAACATAATTTTCCCTTGAAAACTAGGTATGTTCGAGATGGACATGTGACCGCAAAGAGCGATGTCTATTCCTTCGGTGTTGTTCTTATGGAATTACTGACTGGTCAGCGAGCATTAAGTAAAGACGCAAGTCCTGAAAATGAAAAGCTCAGTGAACATCGTTCTGTTGTGCAATACGTGAGTATGCTCATTGGTTCTACTCTTAAATAAGTTTTCCACAAGAACAAGAAATGCAAACCGATGGCCAGAGTTTTTAGGCTGGTTTAAGTAATTAATCTGCATATGCCATTTACCAGTTAATTTTGGTTTATATTTCTTTTGATCCAGATGCTGTCAGCATTGAATGATAGCCAGGACTCGTTCGACGAGCTGGCCAAATGCATTGATCCGAACCTGACCTCCTACGACAAAGATTCACTCTATGAGGTATGACTCATTTCCACCTTTTCTTGTGCATTAGAAGTTCTACGTAGCGTGTGGTTACTGTCTAGAAATTAAAAAAGACAGAAACAGTGCAGACCGAGTGAAAATGTCTCTGAAATTCACTGTTCGAACGGATTTATTTTAAATCTGTCTTTATCTCTTCAATCAAAATTGTTTTTCTCCTTTTGTATCTCTTCCCTCTATCTTGTGATACTAAACAAACGCAACATATATGTAACGTGGGAAGAAACTATTTTAACTATCTAAATCTCTTGTCTTTGCATTGCCTGTTGGTTGGCCTAATAAGCCGCCCTAAATTGAGTTTTTTCGTCGAAATGTTTCAGCTCTTTCATTCGAACTCTTCTCTGACTTGACACATTGTTCTTGTTTTGACATTCTCTAAGATGGCCCTCTTGTCCAAGGACTGTGTTGATGACAATTGGAAACGGCGTCCTGATATGAGTAAAGTTGTGCTACGCCTTTCACACATACTTTCAAGCTCCAAAGAGTGGGAGGAACTATAGTTCGATTGCCTCGCAGGGCAAACATATAGCCAAAATCTGCAAGGCGTTTTCCAGGAGGTTCAAGACTTGGACTTATTTTGTACAAAAATCTACTCATTTTCCTTGGTGTATTTTCCCTTTTGTTTGTTGATTCTTTTTAAGGCATCTAGAGATCGTACAATTTACAATGCCTTTGACAATTTGTAGGATTCCTCAAGCAAGGTAGAATAACTTCACGCATGTGTCATTAGAAAATTGTTACAGAGATGTTGTTGCTTGCAAAGAATTAATGAGAAAATACGACAAGACCGTGTTTGTTTTTGTTATACATAATAGGATTTAAATCACAGTTTTTACACTCAACCTATTAACTCGGCGAAATTTGATTCATCTGACTTGAGTTTGAATGACTCGGTTGATTTAATTAAACCTACTTTAAAAGATATGCAATTAATTCTGAATAAATAGAGAGAGAGACAAAGAAAACAAAAAAAAAGAGCAGAACGATGCCATTTTAAGTAAGGTGATGGGTCCGAGCTCGACTCCTCCTCACTAATAAATGCTTTTTTCTAACTCAGTTTCTAAGTTAGACATGATAAAAGAGAATATCAATTAAATTTTTTTAATTGTTTTTGCAAAGTTTGCCTAACAAACATGAAGTTCTGTTAAGGAATGAATTCAACCAAAAAGTGTAAATTATTAAATAATATTTTAGGATATAATTTTATATTATTATGTAATTAGTAGATGAGTAATATGAATAAATAAACTAGCATATATTTATATTATATTAAGCTTGCTTATTGTCTTTCTAGAATAAAGGTTAAATGATATTTGAGGGGGGGGGGGGGGGAAAAAAAAAAAAAAAAAAAATTACTGTTATATATATATATTTAAAACAAGACAAATATACGCAAGCACTACACCCTCCCTTTTTGGAATCTTAGGCTTGACTTTGTGCAAAGACTTTCGTTAGAAAATCTATGTTGGGGGCACTTATTCAAACATATTAAAATGGATTTAGAAATTATATATTAATTATTAAGTTGTAATTATTTTGATTGTAAATACACATTTAACCCAATTTTGACTGGTGGGTGAATTTAATTCTATAGGTTAAAATGCATTTTTTTTCCTCATGAATTTATATTATATGGATAGTTTATATGAAACTTGACTAATGAATATTTTAATAAGAATATATTTTAATTGATAAAAGCTAGAGATTTTTTTATCTTAAATTATCTTAACATGTTTTTAATAAAGTTAATTGCTTATTTTCTAGGATGAGGGTTAAATGATATTCGAGCAAAAAAAAAACTTTTCCATCTCATGATCATAAAGAAACTATCCACTTTTTTTTATTCATTCATTTATTTAATTATCGTGACAGAGACTGGAAGAAGAGATTTAGAGAAGGCATCGATATACGAATATGCTAAGGAGAAAATGTCAAACTGACAAAAGGAAATTTGCAGAGACGAAGAGAACTTGAAAGGGACAAAAGGCCACTTTACAACTTCCAAATAAATTTCAAAATGACGAGGAAATAAGATTTTCAAGGAAATTAATTGATTACTCCTTCGAAAATGGATTTAAGAGTATATTATTAAATATATAATTTCTTAAATCAACAAGGAGCAATAAATTATTTTAATTAAACTACAGGGACTAAGCTAAGATTAACCCAACCTTACACGCTCTTGTTGTATTCCGAACTTAGCTTTCCTAGCCTCTTATAAAAAAAATGCAATTAAGTCCCATGGATGCAAAGGGATGTCCCAGTTAAATAAATAAAAAAAGGCAAATATATATTCATGATCATCACAATTTACTTGGAAAACACCATAAATTCGGTTTGAATTATAATTGTAAAACACAAACTAGACTCATAGGTTAATTTGATACCAGCTGATTTTAAAGTGATGTAGGTTAAAAAAATTAAAAGAAAAAAAAACTTGGTTGCCCCATTAACCTAATTAATTTTAATATAACCTAGTCAAAACGGATTCCCAATTCATTAATTTTTTAAAACATATATTTTTTATTAAAATAATATTATTTTTATTTTAAAAAAATTAATAATAAACCCAGGTTAATTCTTCTAATCCGAACCCATGAATTGGAATACAGTAATTTGCTTTGCACTTGTAGGAAGTTTACGTTTCAATTGAGAAGGGTGGGATTGCAATAAATGGCCCAAAATGTTGTAAAGGTATATGATTAATTACACTTGGATCATAGCAATATTTAAATACCAGCATGCAATTCGCAAACAATGGCATTATCTTTTAAATAAAAATTGTTTTCAGTGAATCAGATCAGTGGCAGTGCAAGCGAATGTTATTGAATCAAGTGTTGGGAGGCATTCACTAAAATTAATATTTTCTTTCTTAACATTCAGTATCGTCTGGCCAGTTCTTTAGTATAAAGAAGAAGTCTCTCCCTAGTTGAATATTAAATAGATCGCTTATTTCCAAGCTGATGTATCTTGTATTTATAAGGAATTAATTCAATCGTAGCCTTATCTGCAACTATGAATAATATTAATTATCATAGTTGTAAATAGGGCTTGACTTAGCGATGGAAGGGGCTTATCTCCTTTCATTGCACCTGGATTCGAGTCCTGGCATGCACGTCTGTCACCCCCGCGGTGCCTTACATGCCTACTGGGTTTGCAGGGTATTCAGTGGGCCGTGGGGATTAGTCGTGGTGCGCGCAAGCTGGTCCAGACACCCCACGTAAATTAAAAAAAAAAAATTATCATAGTTGGTGAATAATATTAATTATCATAGTTGGTGAACTTCATTTAATTAACTTGATTAAATTCAATACAAAGCCATAATATTAAGAATTTTTAAAAAATAACAGAACGATATGGTTTCAATTAAAATAAATGGCTTTGAAGTTTCAACTTATAAACTTCGTATTCAGATACTAAAATATGTATACTGTATTTAAAGTTGGGAAATGTATATAACTTTAATTGTGGAGCTCGAGACTTGATAAATCTACGTGAGAACGTAAGTCAGGTTACTTTATTCGAGCGAGACCAAAACGCAGAAAGCGATGCAGCTTGCAGTTGCAGAATTGACAAGGCATGAGTTCAATTGGTCCCTTCTTTGACTAGCTTGTTTGGAAGCAGAGATATTTTTTTTTGAATAGTTTTTCATATTAAATTAAATATTAATAATATTTTTTTATTTTTTAAAAAATTAGTTTGATATCATGACATTAAAATAATTTGAAAACACTAAAAACACATTAATTTGAAATTAATAAAAAAATAAAAATAATAATTTTTTTTTTAAATTACTTTTAAAACATAAAAGCAAATAGGCGTTATCACTAAGACATTCATGCATGTTGCTGATGATTTACAATAACTTTTCTTTGTTTTTTATTATTAGGTTTTGTTTGGTTTTATATTTTAAAAACATTTGAAAATTTTTTAATTTTTTTATTGTTTTACTTTAAATTAATATTTTTTTATATTTTTAAATTATTTTGATATATTACCGTTAAAAATATTTTTTTAAAAAATAAAATATTATTTTAATATATTTATAAATAAAAAATATTTTGAAAAACAATCATATCTCCAAACACATACTAGCATTGTAGCTTTTTAATCGCTATTTTAAAAAGATAGATTTAAAAAATATATTTTTAGTTAAAATTATTATAAATTAGGTTTTTGTAATGAAAAAAAAAAATTAAAAATATGTTTCTAATTAAAATTATTGCAAATTAGGTTTCTGTAATGAAAAACAAAAAACATGTTATTTTAGTTTCTATAAATTAAAACTTAAAACACAATAACGTGAGATTAATATAAAAAAAAAAACAAGTTATTTAATTAACAAAACAATTTGTTTCTATGTAATTGGATATAAAACAGAAGGTATTATTATAATACCGAACCGTCTCTTCAATGGACCGAAACATGTTCTGTTAGTGTTAGAAAAACATGGACTGAAACTTAGCCTTAAAAATAAAGTGTTAGGAGTGTCGAGGAGGTTAGCCAAATTGACCAATTGCACGGTTAGCAAGCCTTAAATGCGACAACATGAACTAATCGAATCGATGAATTAGTTGCGATCCATGCGTCGAAACACCACCGACATTGGTGATCGAAATGTCCATTCAAGAGCGCAAGTGTCGGTCACGGCCCTCTGTTTTTAGCCGTGGTCCCTTGGCTGACCCGAGACGGTGCCACCACTTCATTGTCAAGGAAACATAGCTATAAAACACTCATTAATTGATGTATTAACTCCCGTTTTTCATTTCTATTTAAAAATAACTGAAATGATATTCAGATGTTGTTTAGAATTGCATTCAAAACCATATTTTATGGGAATTTGAATATTTTTTCAGCTTAAAATTAATTTTGTTATATTTTTTTAAGATTCCCAAAATAAATAACATTTTATAGATCAACTATTATTATACTATCAGATACAACTCTTAAAAAAATCAAATATTTTCATCAAACTAACCCACGTCATACCCAAGATAATTAATGAGACATTACATTACTTAGTCAAATCAGGCCAAGTCTTGTAAGTTAGAACACTGTCTGTGGCTGAAAATGGTCCAAATCAGAAATTTGCCATGGCTGTGCATCCATAATAGAATATTCTCACCACGCCAGTGTGAAGGACGAGACTAATTCAATGGAGGCTCCATGCATTTAAAAAAGTCTAAATTCTTAACTTGGTTAGGTATTTTTGGGTGGAATATTTCCCATTTGTTACCAAACCTTTTTGTTTTTGTCCCTTGCTCTCTTGTTTTCAACTGCTTCGATGCAGCCTCGAAGGCAATGCCCCACCCCCCCGCCAAATATGTACAAGGACAACCCTTTCTACTCGAAATAATCTTTATTATTATCAAGCAACAGCTCAGCATGTAAAATATCATGCTTTCTCGTTATTTTCCGTGCATGTTTGATGTATAATATTTTTTTAAAGTATTTTTGTATTTATGATTTTTTTAGATTTTTATTTTTGATGGTATCGGGTCAAAACCTTTAAAATATATTAAAAAAATATTAATTTAATATTTTCTCAAGTAAAATATATTTCTAAAAACATATTAAAAAACAGAAGCTGACACGCGTTCAAACAATCTCATGTCCGACCTAGTTAGACCGCTACCCAAGTGAACATCCACGGGTTTTTCTTTTTTATAATTTTCATGGTCAATTTCAGATGGATAAGATATGCATGCTTGTG